GGCCCCGCTGGAGGACGAGGAGCGGGGGGCCGTCTACGTCTTCCGCGGGAAGCGGGGCGGCGTCGCCTCCCAGTACAGCCAGGTGAGACGCCCCCCACCCCTGGTCCTGGGGGGTGGGGGTGTCCCAGGTCACGGGTGCCTGCTGGGTGACAGAGAGGTCCCGGGTGCTGGAGAGGTCCCGGGTGGTGGAGATGTTCTGGGTGGTGGAGATGTTTCGGGTGGTGGGGGCATCTTGGGTGCTGGAGAGGTCCTGGGTGCTGGGGACGTGCCGTGTGGTGGAGATAGCCCGCTCGGGCGAGATGTTTCGGGTGGTGGGGGCATCTTGGGTGCTGGAGAGGTCCTGGGTGCTGGGGACGTGCCGGGTGGTGGAGATGTTCTGGGTGGTGGAGATGTTCTGGGTGGTGGAGATGTTCTGGGTGGTGGAGATGTTCTGGGTGGTGGAGATGTTCTGGGTGGTGGAGATGTTCTGGGTGGTGGAGATGTTCTGGGTGGTGGAGATGTTCTGGGTGGTGGAGATGTTCTGGGTGGTGGAGGCATCTCGGGTGGTGGGGGCATCTTGGGCGGTGGAGAGGTCCTGGGTGCTGGACACACGTTGGGTGCTGAAGATATCTTGGGTGCCGGAGGGGTCTTGGGTGCTGGAGGCGTGCCGGGTGGTGAAGGTGTCTCGCGTGCTGGAGGTGCTCCAGGTGCCCAAGGTGTCCTGGGTGCCGGAGACGCTCCAGCTCCTGAAGATGTCCCAGGTGCTGGGAACATCTGGGGCGCCAGAGACGTCTCACCCGCTCGGGCGCCTCTGTCTCCCCCAGCGCATCTCAGGTGCCCAGTTCTCCAGCGGGCCACGCTATTTTGGGGGGTGGTGAAGGTGTCTCGCGTGCTGGAGGTGCTCCAGGTGCCCAAGGTGTCCTGGGTGCCGGAGACGCTCCAGCTCCTGAAGATGTCCCAGGTGCTGGGAACATCTGGGGCGCCAGAGACGTCTCACCCGCTCGGGCGCCTCTGTCTCCCCCAGCGCATCTCAGGTGCCCAGTTCTCCAGCGGGCCACGCTATTTTGGGCAGGCCATCAGCGGTGGCCAGGACCTGACCGGGGACAGGCTGCCGGACGTGGCCGTGGGCGCCCAGGGACAGGTTCTGCTGCTGAGGTGCGGCTGGGGGACCCACCTGGGACCTTCCGTGGCCTGGAGGATGCAGTGGCCGCCGCCAACCCCCCCTCCGGCTGTCACCACCAGGTCCCAGCCGCTGCTCAAGGTCCGCGTCACGGTGGCTTTCCAGCCCCCGGAGATCCCCACGGCCGCCTTTGATTGTCAGGAGGAGGAAGCGCTCAGGGGGGAAGTGGCCAAGGCTAAGATCTGCTTCCTCAGCACCAAGAAAACCCCTGACAACTTTGGTGAGAACCCCACGCGTCCGTCTGGACGCCCAAGCATCTGCAGGTGTCCCCAGGGCCCCCCAAAGCCCCTCCCCCTCTTCTCAAGACCCCCAGAAGCCCATCTGTCCTCCCAAAGCCCCTCCAGGCATCCCCAAACCCCCCAGAAATCCCCGTGGCCTCCTAAATCCCCCTCCAGATGCCCTCAAGACCAGTCAGAAGCCTGTCTGGCCTCCCAAAGCCCCCCCAGATGTCTCCCAAGCCCCCCACATGTCCACCTGGCCTCCCAGAGCCACGCCAGATGTCCTCAAGATCCCCAACCCCCCCGCCAGGTGTCCCCACATCCCCCAGAAGTCCACACGGACTCCTAAACCACCTCCAGATGCCCTCCAGACCCTCCAAAACCCATCCGGCTCTCCGTCTCCCCCTTTCCCACCATCCTGGGGGGCTGCCGGAGACCCCGGCCACCCACCTTCCCCTCCCTTTCCCCGCAGGCAGCCAACTTTCCACCACCCTCCGGTACCAGGCGGCCCTGGACCCCGGCCGGGCAATGGTCCGGGCCGTCTTTGCCGGCAGCGCCACCATCCACAATGGGACCCTCCGACTGGGCGTCGGACAGCGGTGCGAGACCTTCGCCATCGCCTTCGCGGTGGGTGTCGGGAAAGGCCCCGGCGGGGCGGTCTGGGGGTCGCCCACCCCCCGGCGCCGGCCTGGGGGACACGGTCGTCTCTCCGTGCCGGGCAGGGCTGCCCGCGGGACACGCTGACCCCCCTGGTGCTGCGCCTCACCTACGATGCCGCTGGGGACCCCATCCCGGTGGCCGGGGGCCTGCGGCCAGCCTTGAGCGAGGACTCGGAGATGGTGGCCGTGGGCACGGTAGGGGCTGGGGGGCACCCCACGGCGGCGGCGGCGCTGGGGGGGAGCGGTAAATCCCATCTGGACGGACGGACGGACGGACGGACGGACGGACGGACGGACGGACGGACTTTAATGATAAACTTTAATTTGTTCACAAAATAACTTATATGACTGGGTTATCTATCACAGCGGATGACTCAAGGAGCAGAAGGTCTTTCCCTGCTAAATACTCTGATGTAACGAGTACAGATGAAAGACAACATGAACAAAATCTGAACAGAAAAACAAAGGTCCTATGACCAGTTTTGAAATATGTTTATGTGTCTTATTAGGCAAGCAATCTCATTGCACCAGACCTTCTGTATCTGTACAAACATGAAAATTATCAGATTAGATGAAAAAGAGCATTGACACTCTTTTTCCTACTTTAACATAACTTAAATGACAGAAAAAAAAGCTAAATTACAGTTTGTCCTGGTTTCGGCAGGGATAGAGTTAATTTCCTTCCTAGGAGCTGGTACAGTGCTGTGTTTTGGATTTAGGAGGAGAATAATGTTGATAACACACCAATGTTTTAGTCGTTCCTAGGTAATGCTTACACTAGTCAAGGACTTTTTAGTTTCCCATGCTCTACCGACTGAGAAGGCTGCAGGTGCACAAGAAGCTGGGAGGGGGCACAGCCAGGACAGCTGACCCAAACTGGCCAAAGGGATATTCCATAAGGCATCTCCTCAGCTGCCCTTCAAGAAGGACTGTGGTGCCGACAACATCTGCGTAGACGACCTCCAGATCTCCTTCAGCTTCTCGGGGTAGGTCCCCCCTGTTCCCCGCGTCAGGGGGACACCCGCGGACACCGGGGTCTGCCCACACCTGCCCCCAACCCCTCTGTCCTGTCCCCCCCCCAGGCTGGAAACCGTCGTGGTGGGGGTGACCGACGTGGTGGACATCACCGTCACCCTCCGCAACCGCGGGGAGGACTCGTACGGGGCCACCGTCCAGCTGCAGCACGCCGAGGCCCTCTCCTACCGCAAGGCTGCCGTGCTCCAGGTACCCCCACCCCCACCGACCCCCCCCAAAACCTTCAGAGCCTCCAAGAGCCCCCAGAAGTCCCCAAGACCCTCCAGAAATCCAGCTGGCCTCCTAAAGCCCTTCCAGATACCCTCAAGACCATCTGCAAGTTCACGTGGATGCCCAACTCCCCTCCCGATGTCCCCAAGATCCCCCAGAAGTCCACGTGGCCTCCTAAACCCTCTCCCGATGTCCTCCAGACCCCCTAGAAGTCCAGGTAGCCCATCAAACCCTCTCCAGATGGCCTCGAGACACCCAAAACCCCTCCAGATGTCCTCAAGACATCCCCGATATCCATTTGTCCACCCAAAGCCCTTCCGGAAGTCCGTGGGGCCTCCTAAACCCTCCCAGATAGCCTCAAGACCCTCTAGAAGCCCACGTGGGCTCCAAAACCCTCTCCAGGTGTCCTCAAGGCCCCCCAGAAGCCCGTCTGGCCTCCAGCCCTCCTCCAGACGTCCCCTGACCCCCCAAGTCGTCTTGCCCTCCCCCGTCCCCACCCCTGACACCCCCCCGGGGCGTTCTCAGTCCTCCAGGAGGTCCACGTCCCTGCACTGCAACTCGCAGCCGGCGGAGGGACCACGGCGCAGCACCCTCTGCCTCGTCAACCACCCCATCTTCCGCCCCGGTGCTGAGGTAGAGGGGTCCCCGGCGTCCCCGCGCCCCCCCAGCCCGCTCGGGCGCTTGGGGACGTCACCGTGAGGTAGGTGGAGGCGTGACGCCCGGGCGTCCCGTCCCGCAGGTCGTCTTCACCGTCACCCTGGACGTGCCCCACAGCGCGGAGCTGGGGGGCTTGTTGGAGGTGGTGGCCAATGCCAGCAGGTGAGGGACAGGGGCACCCCTCTGCCGCAGTGACAACAGATCGCCGGGTGGCCGGGGGCAGCGCGCCGAGATCCCGGTGAAGTACGGCGTCTTCCTCGTCCTCACCAGGTAGGGGACGCACCCAGTCTGCCCACAGCAGCTCCTTCCAGCTGGAGATGGCCCAGGAGGGCTTCAGCGCCCTGCTCACCCCCGTAAGTGTCCCCTGGCCACCCGAGACCGTCCCCGCGCCCGTGGGGTGTCCCTGGGGCGGGACTGACTCCTCTCCCCCACCGCTGTCCCCCTCCCCATCTTTACTGGTGCAGGAGGGGCCCGTACTGGGAGCGGTGGGCGCCTACGACTGGTCCGGAGGGGTCTTTGTCTATGGCGGGAGTGGGGAGACCACCTTCGTCAACGTGTCCCGAGCTGCCGGGGACATGAACGACGCCTACTTGGGTAAGGGCTGCCTGGGACGGGGACGGACAGGTCCCCGCCAGGGTCTCTGGGATGGTGGTGTCCCCCGTGAGGGTCCCGGGGATGTCAGTGTCCTCTGGAGGGTCCCAGGGTCCCGTCAGCACCCTCACGGGGGCTGTGGGGAGAAGTCCGTGTCCCTGTCGGGATCATGGGGCCACCAGCATCCTCAAGGGTCTTGGGGACGTCAGTGTCCTCACGAGGGTCCCTGCGTGGGGCTGGGGACACCGGGTTCCCATGAGGTTCCGGGGGACATCGGGCCCTGGCGAGGGTCCCCATGACTATGCTGGGGACATGGGCATCCCCACGGGTGTCTTGGGGACGTCAGGTCCTTGTGAACGTCCCCACGACAGTCCTGGGGACATCAACGTCCTCGCAATGTTCCTGGGGACATGGGTGTCCCCATGAGGATCCGGAGGATGTTGGTGCCCCCACGAGGTCCTGGGGACGTCAGCATCTCCACAAGAGACTTTGGGGCACCGGTGCCCTCACGGGGATCCTGGGGACACCGGTGCCCCCGTGGGGTCCTGGGGACGTCCGCATCCCCGCACGGCTCCTGGGGCCGCTGGCACCCCCAGGAGGGTCCCCCGCTGACCCCCGCTGTGACCAGGCTACGCGGCCGAGTCCCTGTCCCTGGAGGGCAGGCGGGCGCTGGCGCTGGGGGCCCCCCGCTACCGCCGCATCCGCCGCGCCCACC